TTCTGCAAGTGCATCCGAAAGGGCCACAAGAATGCTGCAGTGGCAACCTCAGGAGCTGGCGCAAACATCGGCCCAGCAAAAGGATGCAAAAAGTGACTGTAACTGCTTCATTCATGATGAACTCGCCCGGCCGACGAGAATTCGTCGCAACATATATCAATGGCATACCGCTTATCTTCCAACTTGATACAGGTTCCGACCTCAATGACTTCAAAACGAACTTGGGACGTAATTGGGAGGCCATCAGTATAACACAAAGTGCTCCGTCCCTAATACATCTGGTGGAAGCCTGAAACTGACCGGAAAAATGAACTGTTCCGTGACGTTCAAGGGGATTCAACTCAATGATGTCTGCTACCTCACAAACTATACAGGCATTGATCTCTTTGGCCTGTATTGGATTAATGAGCTTCAACTCTTGGACCAACCTCTCAATGCCGTGTGTAACGAAACAACTGCAGATGGCTGCAATACATTCACGAGAACACCACATGCTGACGATTTTGTGGTCGCTACAGACCAGTGGGATCATACACGACACAGCAGCTGTCCAGCTCAAGGCGCCCGGTACCAGTGGCACAATCGCTTCAGTTTTTTGGCGAAACGTGCCAACAGCATGCAGAGTTGTACTCGCGGTCCGAACCTTTCAGTCTACAGTCCCAGGTTCATGCGGTTTGTTGCACTGCTATCCAGCAAGTCAAGAAATATTGGCCAGCAGAAAGGACACCACAATAGTCACAGAGGTCAGATACTGATTCGAGGTTACTATCCACGATGGACGCAGGGTCGACGACTACGTCAAGTGTAGGGTGCCAATCAGACCATAGACACAGCCACATCAAGGGAACCAACTTCAAATACCGGATTATGGCTCCGTAAGCGAACTACGTCGCATGGAAAACAGGATAGCCGCAACACACCTCCGAAGTAGAGGGCACAAGTTTCCAAATCAGTGCGCTCACATTCCCAGGGACGGACCGATATGCAACAGCATCTCCACGAATCGTCACAGTTGCGTTCATAGCAACAGTTGTTTGAACAGCACCCTCAAGGGGGCTGCCTCCGGGAACCAGCCGCTCTTAATAACCAAACAGTAAGTTGAGTGGACGGGCTACGGACTAAACGAAGACACCTCTCGGTTGCTCAAAACGTCAGACAATCTGGATTGAGAATCTGTTGCTCTGTACTTCTCTTCCTCTCACGGAGGTATTGTGTTCGACGAGGAATAGCGTGTGACGACAGTCAGAGTAAGAATGGAAGACTGAGGGCCTGGAAGCTAGGCTTTATTCATCCAAAACTGTGCTACTGCGATCTAAAATGAGAAGAATAGTTTAGCAAGGAACGATAAAACTTTAAAAAAACCAGCTAATATGTAACATCCACTCCTCTCCCCACAGAGATAGATGCGCACGGGAGTTCGTTTTATAACTGAATAATGTCAGACCTCCCCTCCAGACCTCGTGTCCGCTGTTTTTTTTTACAACCAACGGGTGTGCAGAACAATTCGACATTTTATTTTTTCCGAAATAGAGAAGTCATACTGCTCTGGCTTAATAAACGAATGGTTATTCGACTGCTATTGCTGCTGTTCGAATACTTTAGCGCATTCGAACTTGCGGACGGTGTCAGGTGGCGTAGGGAGGCCGTTTCTTTCATGCCGTTATGGTATCGGAAATATGCGTGCTATAGATTACACTCCAAGCTTTTTGACTACGGGATCATACTTTGAAGATAGTTTATTTCGCCGCATCATAACTGATCCTGGAAGCAACCACTGCGGCAGTGATGTACCGGTTACGAATTTTTGATTATGATGAAACGTTTGCTCATATGGAGTGGCATTGGTGGCAGCGCACAATAAATAACTAATCAAATGAAGCACATCTTGTAAGACGGGTTCCAAATGACAGATTTGAAGAGCTTTTGATCGCATTGAAAGCGCAATAGCTTTCCACAAAATTCCGTTTAATCGTTCCACATGGCCGTTACCCCTTGGGTTGTATGTAGTGGTCCGATTGGTGCCAGCGCCTTTTTCATGAAGACATCGCTTAATCTCATCTGAAATGAATGACGAACCCCAATCCGAATTCACGGCACTAGACTGGCCAATTGTGACAGAGAGTGACACCAAGTATGATATTTTCGTAGATGAACACGGATAGGATGGACACGGATAGGCGAACGGAAAATGGGAATACTCCTCCACGACCGTGAGTAGATATTTATTTCGATTCGTCGAAGCCAGTGGTTCTTGGAAGTCAAGGCTTAAACGTTCAAAGGTTCATGTGGCTTCAATGAGCGTACCACCAGATGACTTGAAAAAAACGTGGCTTTTACCCCGCACACAAATGGCATTGCTTAATGACAAGTCGGATGGCGTCTAGAGAGAATGAGAGGTTCCTAGCACGAACGAAATCGGTCATGCATTTCGCTCCAGGATGGCACAGAGTTGCGTGTAAACGTTTTAGATCCATCTGAGATGTAGTGTTCGCACAGACACCCCGGGAGAGCGTGTCAGCGGCTTTGTTTTCGGTACCTGGTTTGTAGGTTACATCAAAAGAAGAAAGCGGCAACTCCGTCCGCCATTGTTGGATTTTTTCGTTTCCCATTCTCCCTTTTTGTTGCGTTGGATACATGAACGCAACAGACCGCTGATCGGTTACAATATTGAAATGGGTCGCGGGTAGGTAATGATTTCATTTGCGCACTGCTTCGACAATTGCACACGCTTCTTTCTCAATAACGGAGTAATGTTTTTCGCTGGTAGACAATATATGTGAAAAGAATGAGACCGGTCTACCATCTTGGTACCATCTTTGGTGGGATGGACCAAGTGGTTAGAGCGCGAATTTACTGACCGGAAGGTCTGTGGTTCGAACCCGACCTCTGCCTCTCGACTTCCCCTGCCTAGGCTTGGGCAACCTGACAGTATCCCATCCCTCGTGCCTCATTCGTGTGGCATGGCAGCTAGGCACCGAAATAATGCTACAGCTGGACGACCATCTTGGTTGAGTGTAGTGGGAACTGCAGTATCAGATGCATCGTTTTCGAACATCAGATGTATTATCGGATCGACAGTGACCACCCCTGCATCCATCAACTCTCTTTTGAGAATTTTAAAAGCTTTTGCAGGAGGCTCAGGAACTGGGAACGTTGCATAGTGGGTGATTGGGTAGATTTTGTCAGTTAAATGGCTTGTCCCACGAGAACAGTACGCGAACAAGCCAAATACACGTTGTTGAGACTTCATGTTCTTCAGAACTGATAGCTCTGAAACGTTATGGGTCTGTTTGATTATGCCTCCCATAATTTCATAGCCAGGGAGTCTGAGTTCAGTGGTGGAAGTTGTGCTTTTATCGTGATCTATCTGGAGGGTGTACCTTTGTGATAGGACGAGAAACTGTTGGAGATTTCGGTCTTGTTCTTCTAGATCTTTCCACAAGTGGTGACAGGAAAGAACAGAGTAAATATACAACAGAAGATTCTAGCATGGCATTGCGGAATATTCTGCGATAACCATATAAATAGGATTGTACTAATCCTCCTTTGTTTCAATGAAGGACTATCTCAAGCTACCGTACCTTTTGATATACCATAGAATCCAGGGACCCACATAGAAGTTCCACCGTCGTCAGCAAGACACCACGCGGATCCATGCAACACTACCTTCTTGCTGTAAATTAGCCGGGCTTACGAGCACTGTCTCTGTGGAATAAAAATAGGGAGAGGAACAAAAATGAGGTCAAGTAGATCTGTTGTGGTACCTACTGATGTATCAATCAAACTTGGCAGGTACACCGGAATCGAGAGCACAAGCGACCTTGAGGAAGTCTTACTAGAAACAACTGAAGCGGTCCGTGAAACGGATTCAAATGAACCAGAACCTAAAAAGAGCGAATTGTCCAACGAGATATCAATCAATGGCTGAAATGGAGAGAACAAATTTTCAGTGCGCAATAGAAATAGCAAAATGGATTTGGCTATACTTTACATCTGTGTGCGTCCCTTGGAATCCCGGTTCCCTGTGTCTCATTGTTTCTTCGTTGTTGGTGTTTTTCAACCAGCAATGTGACATTTATTTTCATTTGTAACATTCGATGGCGCTGGACCTGCAGTGTATAAAAAATTTTGGGGAAGTATCCGAGAGCTGGGCAAGTTTTATGATACGGTGATTGTAATAACACTTATTCTCTGGTTTCTTTCAGCTCCACCTCGTAACGAAGTAATGACCTTCACGTCGGAATCCGCGTGAGTACTAGGAGTAGTTCAGTGTGCTGGTAAATCTGTCCATTTATTAAGGAATTCGGTGTTACGTCACTTTTTGTTAGTGTATTTTCCCGAATAATCCATAATCTTGGGTGATACCAACGCTTGTGGGTTTGCTAGCTGCTCAATTAAATTCGCCCTTACTCCGGTCAACTTTCAAGACGAAGAAAATAAGCACTTGAACTTGATGGCTGCAGAGAGGTTTTCAGCCGTCTTGTAAGGAATGTTGGATCAAGAGAATTACTTCGAATGTCGTTCAAACTGAAACATGTTACGGCCTCTGTGCAGCCTGATAGCCCTCAGTCGAAGATTGGCACAGACGAAAGATCCGTCGAGCCTCCTCTTTGCACTTAGATGATGTGCAAGTGAGTATACGTACAGTTTGGTGTACGAAATAAGGTCGATGAAAACCCAGGGAAAACGCTTACCTAATGAGTCCCAGTACGGACGAAAGGTGGTATTACGAAAGGGTTCCAACAACTCTGTAAGTAATGTTTGGTCTAGAAGAAGAATAAAGCTGTTCTGGTTGAGAACGCATTTATTGTCAATTCATTCTTTTTGGTGTGGGGGTTTTTCAGAGCAAATTAGTAACCGTTAGAAGTTTGGTATAAGTGGTGTGATTACTCGTTCTGTTTTCCATACAAATTGGTCAGTGACCTTGTGCGTCCTAGGACGTACTGCATTCCGCGTTACCCGTGTGGTTTATAATATGAATACCAAGTTTTGTAATGTAAATGTATGGTTTCTTTCATCCCAGCTTCGATGCGCATCATGCAGTCAAATACGTCTATTGTGTTTTGGATGAAGTTTCTAGCGGTTTGGACAATCTTGGAGACACTCCCGACGCCGGGTTATTGTCCTTACTCTCACGGATCGAAAGCGCGTTCACCTATCGTCACTATCATATTACTCAGGGTCTGTCACCGAAACTACTGCACGGTACGGCTCGTTTCATTCATTCCTGTCGAGGTTATTTTATTCACTTGGTCCTTATGTCTAGACGCAGCTAGCTTGATAGTACCGAGTTGTATAGTCGCTTTGCACCGAAACGGTATCACAGCGAAACGGCTATTTTTTGGATAGTCGTACGTTTTGTTTTATACGGGCGATGTCTGTGCTCACATCATCCAGTAGCACCTTAGCGACACCTTTGTGGCACAACTCATCATCGGCTACAAACCTCACGGGTAATGGTGTTGCGGTACAGTGAGTCGTAATTTTGATGCAACCCTTATACGAGAGGGTACTTCCCTTCGGTTCCGATTTTTCGCCGATGAATCCTTTCTAAACATAACAGACCACACTAGAGGACGATTGACCTCGAACCATCCCATGAAAGACTGAGTAAAGTAACCATAAATTTGAAGATGTAGTGATTTAAGATGTAGTAGGTCGCCTCTGACGAAGAAAACAACCGCCGCATTCAGATTGTTCTAGGGAATCAAGTTAAAAGGTGAAAAATTGGAGCTGGATGGATGAAGTTCAGAAGTGACTAAGAAATGAAGTTACTTACTGGATAAACGTATTCCCTTTGGGGTAGAAGTATCCATTCCATGATTTCTCTCGCTTCGGTGGGTCTTCTTTCTAAAGGCTTCTCCCACTTATCAAAACATTTTATGAATAAACTGAAGGACAGCAAAACTCCGCTATAACGAACCTTTCGTTGAATATTTTGGTCCTGGTGACCGCAGTTCAAACTGCATGAAGAGAATACAACGCCGGTTTGGCGTTGTATTGTACCACAAATTTATGTTACGATGGATTGTTTCAGGACCACACTAGACCAGTTTATGTAACCCTCCAACTGAATTATTCGCGATCTACGGAGGAAACTGTAGATTTTTTATGGCGGCACAGCTGTTACATTCTGGAGTGGAAAAAAACTTTCAAGCTCTCATCCCATTATGCCTTCCATGCATTGCGCGGCGCCAAACCTTGTGTAGATTTGTAGTCGGCAGGATGCAGCCCTGTTAATTAATATGCAGTCCTGTACGTACTTCACGGAAAGCTGTGAATGGTGTGGCTAGGTTGATTATGTACTAGGAAGCAATCGCATCAGTCACCCGTTCAACTCGTCCACTCTCAGTCAAAAGCACAACCGAACATATGCCATTCTGAATTAGGACGACCCAAACACCTAACAGGATTCGCTGTTCACCCTCTTTTTCCTGATTGTTGTGTCATAGTCATAGTTTTTCCCACCTAAACTCTTCCAATATTGGCTCCCGCAAGCCTCAGGGTTATCTGGGACAAACTTGTTGGTGATTCCGCCGTTTGCTCGGTTCGATTCAATACAAACGCAAGTATCAGTTACGAGTGGCTTTTGTGAACTGGTCAGAAATCATTTCATCTCTCCTCTCCTTGGAAGGAAATCTCTCCACTGCAAACGAATCTCACAAGAAGTAGACTATAGTCGTGATGCACGGAATCCATGTATCAATCAACAACATGCACCATCGTTCAAGGTATTACAAAGGGCATACAAAAATTACCAGGGACTCTAACTTGACGTAGGCCCTCTTGATGGTTAATTGAGGTCTAAAAAGCTGCTAGTTCAACCCGCGTCATGTCTTCTGTAAACAGCGAGTTAAGTCGCTTTTATTGCGTCTTGTGGTAGTCTGTTTCAAGAGCTAATAACCCGAAGGGTGAAGGATCACATCCGAATACCATAATTGGATTCATCGTTTTCCAGTCTCTTCCCATATCCTCTTATCTCTTGGCTGTCTCTATGTTCAGGTATATTCCGTTCAAGTTTGGTGTATGCTCTAGCTAGCAAAGTGTATCAGCATGTACCAAGTGAAACATGAGGTAATCTAGTGCAGCGCATTCATTTGAAGCACCATTTTGAAGTACTATAAACGAGAGAGATTCAGCTGGATTCAGTTGAGTTTCCCATCGAAACTAAACAGACGTGCAATTGAGAGCATCCGTCGAACATTCGAATGTTCTTTTCGTTGTGAAACTAATAGTTTCCCTAGTTAAGTTCTTTCGATTCGGTGCGCTGCATCAGCTTGATGCTTTCCTTGAAGATAATGACTCTGATTTCTGTTCTCTATAACACTACAGTTGATCTGATAAAATCCTCTCATGATTTTACATACGTCCAATTAAAGTTAGGCTGCTCTTTTAGTCAAAGGAGAGACCTGATTATATTGATTTAGCATCTGTCGCTTGATGGGTATGCAAAGTTGTATGGTAAGTTCACCGTGTTGTCACTGTAAAAATCCCCGAACTGTTTGTAGAGGGAAATGACAAAAAACAACCACCCTAGAAAGGCGTATTCCGTGAGTTTGACGCAACTTGATGGCTGTCACATTCAAATTCATGAATATGACGTTGATGGTTAATTATAGGAGAGGGGAGACGGTATAGTTAGTGTGGCGTGGGGACGTAGGTTTTGGTACCAGGTAGATGGTCACTTGACATTCTCCATAACAGGAATCTGACTGTAGCAGCTAAGATCGGTCCGTGTAGTTGGCTGCCACTAGGGGGAGGGAGCACTGCCGGGAAAATTGATAACACGGTTGCGCTAGTTGGCTGTCGACCAGGTCACGTTCGATCTGTTCTTCAAGCTTGGTAGTTGGTTTGCGAACCGTTCGTTACCCTACTAGGAGATATGGAGTAGACCTAGGGGTAATAACCACCGCGCACTGCACACCACAGCTGGTGTTTAAACGTTTCAAGCAAATTGGCAGGCTTAGGGAACAGCCCAACTGTCACCTGATCAACAGATACTTCCTAGGTTTACGATATTTTCATGGAGCACATATTCTTTATTCCTCCTTCATTGAGCTGTTTTTGCTATTATTGTTATCAATACCTGTTTCACTGTAGACTTCAGTGCATGGTGTCTCCATCGACTGCTGTTGATCGCGTGTCGTCCTAATTTCGTTTATCACTTGAATATCGTGGGCAACGCAATGAGAAAACTACTTGTACTTCTCGAAAGGCACTGTGTGGACACATTCGTTTCGCACTCGTCCCTTTTGCTTCGCATTCTCAAAAGTGAGTTTATTGCGCTTTGGAGATTTTGTTTGTGAATCTGGATCTACTATGGTACCTTTCCTACAAAGGGAAGCCGCAATGACGTCCCCCGTCGGTAAGGATATGTTAAAACTCCGGAATGTGAGGAAACGCCAAAGTGACGGTTTCTTGTATGTCCCAAAGATCAACGGTACTCAGTTCAGTGGTCGCGGGACGTGGTTGGATTTGCCCGAAATCGAAGTAATTATAGTGCAAAACTGGGAGCGATTTGGAGTAAATATAAATAAACTATCCGAAGAAAGGATATCTTGATTTCTCTGGTTGGAGGGATGGGTGAAGCACATAACAGCCTTTCTCCAGGAGAGGCTTCGCATCAAATCGTGGCTAATAGGGACTGCCATTACGAACTTTCTACCAATGCCTCGATAATTACTGTATAAACTCGTTGGATTCACTCTATATCACGTTTGTGTGTATAACAATTTCCAGCTATTAGTTCAGCCATATCACTTGAGATCTTTTTAGATTCCGTTTCAGATGGACTCTAGTTTCGGTGAAGTTAACTTATGTGAAACTTGAAATATTGTTCTGCTCTCTTTGGGACCTGACAGAACCGAATGTTTGTAGACTCAAGAACGTTCTCATGCCTTGTGCGGTCAATTGAATCAGTCCACTCAATATCAGTCGCTGTCCGTCTACCCCGACTTTTTAATATACAGGGAAGAACTTCAATGTTTCTATCAAACTGACACATTTCTCGTCCATGGATGAAATGGCACAGGTCATGTTCGAAGGAATACTTCATACAATGGGTAGCAACAGATCTTAAGCTGAGGCTGATCGCACGTTTGCCCGTCAGTTGTGATCCTAGCGATGGGATAGAGCCTTTTCTTGCCAACTATCAAAAGATGCTTAATACTTGTGTTATGGTAGACTTGGATGCACCACCATCCGTAGTCGCTTAATGGGCAGTTTTAACACTGTATCACTTTGAGCACAACTGTCTAATCAGGCTGATCAATCGCGTGATTGATTTAGTCGAAGAATTCATTCAACCGATACAGGTACGTTTTTCGAGACAAGGTATATCGGCATAAATCAAAGTTGAAGTCTCGACTTGGGTAGCTAGTGTATTCACTCTACAGGACCCACCTGTGACGAGGCTCCAATCTCTGATACTGTCGTCTGTTGAGGGACCGGTTGCTGTATCATTGTTCTAAAGGTTCGTTTGTCTTGAGCCTGAGAGATTTACGAATTTAAATTATTTGGCGAGAGCTTCATCAGACTGATACACTACTGTGTGAATAGTTGTCTGTCTACGTTTTTACTAACTTCCAATTTTTGATTCTTATTCATGGTTTACTTATGGTAACGAAGACCCTGCGGGCGGCGCATCACTTCACCCAGACAATCAACGTCACTGTAACCGAAAAGAAGCCGATCACATGTTGGCCTAAAGAGGGGTGGAGCTTCCTAAACGATTAAAAAACAATCTGGGAACAAATTAGGGAAGGGGAGACTTCATATTCTGTCTGTTATCAGACGTTCAACGCTTTTATGTCTAGTCAACCCAAACTTTTCTTAGGCAGTTCAGCCATCTCTATGACCGGAATATAAGAACTTAAGGTTATCCGTGTATAATTCAGATAGCATATGCAAACGAATGGTGAGAAACCTACTCCGAAACTTCATCGCGATGGGATGTGAACATTTGAACTCATCTGACCTTATCACTTTCGGCTCATGTAGAGCTCATCACCACATGTTGATTAATAGTCGCGCCAACTCATTACATGTTTATTCTGCAATTTCAGCCATTTTGCTTGCTCTGGATCAGTTCGATGAATCCGAACAAGATGCCTTTGAACTCGTCCTTGACACTTTCAGCTTTGTCGAATCAAAAATATCTGTGTCCAGCCACACGACGGTACACAAGCAGGCGTGACTTGACCTATTCCTCTTTGTAGAACGATGGCCTGCTCTTACGATGTGAAGCAATTCGTTCGGTTGATCTGAACGGATCGTATCATTTGACCACTGTCTTGTGGTTTGTCTTACTTTTGTTATTTTAAATCCATCCTTTTTACAGCCATGCCATATCCTCAGTCCTTCCTGGTTTTCAAACATATTCCCCGGATTTGGTTGTGGATGCTTTTCATCTGTTTGATGTGACGATCGAACTTTGCGATATACCGAGCAAACAGGTAGGTACCTGTGTTACCTCTGCTAACAATGAAGTCAGTCACCGTCCCAAAGGTTGTATCATACTTGTCACACTTTTCGTTTACATGTATGCGTGTTGACAAATTTGCGAGTAGCTTTCAAATGGATGTATCGTAGCGCTGTTTGTTTTCGTTTTCTAAGTAAAGAAGCTGATACAGTTCGCTGTTCACAAGGATAATCTTTTTGTGTCGTCTGAATCTTACGGTATTCCTCTTCGGTAGCGCACTGTCTGAGATAGTACTCCCCTGGCAGATGGAACATCCAATACCTCCAATCCCCTCCAACCCCCCACCTTTTGAAGCATCTTTCAGTGATACTAGCCGTTGCCTCCGGACGTAGCCATCCACTCTGATTTCTCATAACGTCGGTGCGTGGAACGCCTTAATGTCCGGCGTCCAACTAGTCACTGACGAAAACCTGCGATAAGCTGCGATTGTTGACGGATGAGGTGCACGAGCTTCCAAGCCTCGGGGCGCGTTTGCTAGTTTGAGGCACCTATGGCGCTAAAACGGTATATCCTTGAATCCTAAGGGACGTGTGCGCATCAGGTTATAGTACGGGCTGTTTTGTTGTATGGTTGTGAGACGTGGTCTCCGCGAGCAGCGGAACTGAGACGTCTTCAAGTCTTCGACACCCGTCATCTCAACCATAGCTTGTGCATAGTGGTGGCAACAAATCCTCTAGATAATTAGAAAGCGAGTGTTCGGTTGTGCAACGGGGACTTCCATTGAAGACTGTGTCCAACCACAGAAGCTACCTTGGTTAGGCCGTGTATCGCGCACGCCGAACCATCATTTACTGAAGACGGTGCCGCTTTCTCTGCTCACTTCAGAGCGGTGCAAGGAGACAGGTGGTCCACCTAGCAGAGGGGTATGAAAGAGATTACGAAAAGTCTGGGTGCTGTCGGTGCAGCTCACCTTCCAGAGTGGGGTTCGCGCGATCTCCCCTGTGCCCGGTTGGAGACTCTTCAAGATATGTTGCTGCTGCTGCTGATGATGATGATAACGATGATAAGACGGTTTGCAGTAGCGGTAGCTATAAATGCTATGGCTGCTACACAACAGTAAGTGCCCATTTCAGTGGGAGTAACCTTAGTTAGGTTACTGGGTGCTGGTGATTCCCTCCAAGTGAGACCAAAAGGAATAGTCGTCCAGCTTGTTGAGAGAAGTAACCCTCCTTAGGGGTCTACTCACGAAACAGTTGGGTACGATGAATTCTAATGTAGACTGGGATGTTGGGATTTCTCCAGGGGAGTCCTTTCTGGGAGATTATTTTACCAATTGTTCTCTGGATTATGGGTATTCTGCGTGCCTCAGTATTTGCCACCACTCCGCAGGGTCTAAAGCAATATATGATAAGCTTTTCCCGTCGCTTTTACTAATGACTTAGTCCACTGCGTGAGCTTTAGTGGATTTCAGACTGGAAATGAGCTGATCAGATTTATGGACGCGAACCCCCCAGTTTACAACTGTTCATCCAAACTGACCATCCTTGGTGATTTTTAATGAAGAGTTCATCCTGTAAGTAGAGCCAATCTGTGCTGAAAAACTGGAAAGCACTGTACGGCTGTCTCACTCTTATTGGGAGTAATTAGCGGTGCGCACCCCACGGAAATCCTACGACGTATCCCACCATCCTACAACCACCTCAGAATAAGAATGAAATTCTACCGAGGAATGGAACTTCCATCTTAAGTGCCGATCAACCCGTGACCAAGTGATATGACTTCCGTGATTGAAGGATGAGTGGCGCTATATCATGTCTAACTGAGAGATAATCAGCCTTATCAGCAGTTCGCTGTCGAACGGTTAAGTTCTCAAGCTACTGGGAGCGAGTTCACGGGTTCAGGACTGAGTTTCGTGAGATGTGCCTTGTGGATGATTCCCACAATTACGTGACGAAATGTTTATTAAAAATGTCCTTAAAACAGCCAACTGCAGTTAAGAGTCTGGTCGTGACACTGCTCTACTACCAATCTCTGCATAATGTTGTCAATTTCAATGTTCTATGTTGAGTAAACGAAATGAGTCTCATCCTGCTCGGCCGGAATATCAAACAACACGTGGTTTCCCACTTCAAACTCACTGATTTCTGTTCCTGTAAATGCTAGGGGGAGAGCCAGCATCCAAGTAAACCACCAGAATCGGGTTTGTTTGAAGGATGTGGATGCGACTGTGTCCGACAGCTGGTATGCTTGTCTTGATAAAATACGGTGTCCAAATTAGATGGTGTATGACTTTGATATTTGAATTGACCAACATACAACAGTCTTGTGATCTTGTTATACGAAATTGGTATTGGCTTCGTAGCTGGGTGGAACCAGTCTGGAGAGCAAGATAGATGCATGTTTGGCTTCAAGTGAAAAAGTAGCCAAGGACTATCATGGTTTTCGTAAAGTTGTTCTGTTGTGCCGGTTAGCTTGGTTACTTTGCTAGAGCTTAGTCATGTGTAACGTGGTTTGGTTTGATTGAAAGCTGTTTAGATTCGGAGGTCATTCGGGTTCCATTTACCAGATCTATTTCAACACTCGAATATTTGCAAAATATTGATCGCAGATTCCACATGTATTCTTTACTGATGAGAGGCTTAACGTACTCTTGTTCCTAGAGAGCTTATGAAGCCATTCTACAGTCTACTGCGTGGTTCCAGAGTCTTCAGTTTTCATCTGATATGGTCACCTCCATTGCAAACAACTTCGCAGATGCGACGGCCCTTTTGCTCCGGTTTCTAAACGACTGGCATACAGGATGTCTTGGATTACCTCCGGGTGAAGTACCACCAGATGAAATTGCTTCCATTGAACAGTTGGTTGCTCGGGGACTGGGTTGGCTTGCTGACAAGGAGCAACGAAGTTCGGCTAATTCTGAACTACCTACTAGCTCATTGGACTTGTCCGTGTGGTACAATACTGACTTGAAGCAGGTGAGAGCTACCAGTATGTGGGTAAATCTGGCGTGGAACATGACGTTTTTTAGTGCTTTCCAATAGAGAAGTTATGCATCTGCCAGGCTCACTTTTCGTCTATTTATTATAACATGCATGACTTTTTCTCGCTAGGTTTGTGAACACTTACTGGAGGCAACCTGGGTCATTAGAACGGAGCATAGTGCCTTGCACTATGCATTGCTCCATTATTCAACCGTCCTAAATCGGCCGACAAATGAACATTCTGCAAAACCGAAACAATCACCCCCGCCATTATCCGCTCGGTCCTTGGCTTCCCAATGTTTACTGCCTTTCAGTTGGGCCAACTTAGTCCTGGAGAGGCCACCAACTTTGAATCCAGAATTTATTTTCAATCTGGAGAATCTGGAGTGCAAAGTAAGTGTGATTATTTACCAAAACCTAGGTACGAGTTGATGCGTAGAAGTAATGATCGGTGTCTAGCTGCCACCCGAAGGAAGCACTAGGACTGAGATTCTGACAAGTTTCTCAAGCCTAGACAGAAGCAGTCGATACTTCAGGTTTAGGTTCAAACTGTGGACCTTTCGGGGAGTAAGTTCTTGCCCTATCTTCTGGGCTTTCTCGAGGTGCGTAGTTTAGATGGTCTTAGCTACGAGAGATAACACTTTCGAACTAGACATCCATGGTTCACGTCGGTGTGTAAATGTCAACTAATTCTTGTATTTCTTTTGGTTACGTTCCCTGGCATTTCCATCCGATGCTTTGTTGCGACGTGCTTTTATGTAATGAAGGGATTTTGAGGCTTCTCAGACTTTACCGCAGAAAGCTACGAACGTAGCTAAAAGGCTGATAAAATGGTTTATGATTCTCCCCTTGCCTTTCCGTCAAGTTCTTTACTTGTCAGTTCATCACCTGCCTGTTTGCTGTCAGGTGAAGTCCTTTGCTGTGGGTACTGGGAGACATACCATGTTTCGAGGTGAGTCGCCTCTCAATGTATGACAAATATTCATTTGGTTTATCAGGCAAACAAGGTTTTTTCTCGTTCTTCCCCAGGTCCAACCTTCTTACTGTTAAGACCAGTACGCTATACAGCAACTTTCTGTGAATCCACTAGATAGCTCAGCGATCAAGGCGCGAACTTATTGATAGGAAGGCTTGTGGTTCGAAACCAATCTCCGCATCCCGACTGCTCCTGTCTGGGCTTGGGCAATCTAGCACTATCTCATGGGATCCGTGCACCGAATGGGTGTCACACCCAAATGCCTTTTTATTACTAACCATTGGTGTTATCGCTTGAGTGACCCAAAATGTGCAAGAATTTGAACATTAGTGGGGTGCATGCTTCTGCCTAATTAGAATTGATCGCGGAAAACATGGATTGCCTTATGACTGCTCATGGGACCATTTGAATTTTAACCACTAAACCGTCAGTTGCCCAAAGGAACTGAGTAGACCTTGGTCGAATGGTAGCCTTGCCACAAGGAAAACCTATGGTAATATTTGGACGGATTATTTGAGAATCAGTGGACACCACTACTTGTCAGCCACCTGTGCCTCAAGGGTGATTTTCCAAAGTTTTTTGGGTTACATGCTACTTAATCGTCCTTTGGTCTCGTTTGTAACGAGGTTGAAGACAATTCTGTTTTGTCCCTCGACCTTGCAGCAACTGCTGATAAGTGTTGATGCACTTTAAATGGGGCGCCTTATGTGTCTTTCTCTCCCTACCACTCCTAGATTGAATCTCACTTGAGTTCAAGGCTGTGCGGTTCGGACCTATTCGATTGGCAAGAATTTTTCACGGCGTTAGTACTTCCATCATCAACGGCACCATTGTCGTTCACAACCCGCCGCGATGCATGGTTCCGTCTCAGTCGTTTATGGGGTGGGTTATGTAGCAGTTTGAAGTCGCTGACAAAGTAAGTACCAAACCTAGTCGAAACTTACGTTAAGTCAAGATAAATACATCTTCCTGGAACGTATCCATCCAACAAGCAAATGTGTTGCCCCAGTCCCGATTTTATTGCATTACAGGAGAGCCTTAGTTTCATACCCTGAATGGCAATCAGCGTCACCCCTCCCGAAGAGAGACCACTCACATTGAACCTCCCTGTCAGTCGGGACGTCTTGTAAAATTCTCTGTCCTCCTTCAGGGACAACCGAAGCGCCCCTTACGTTATCGTACCCTCGTTATATGTAGGCTTACTCTACACATTCTATATACATAGTCTTTATGCTCTGCACTCCACCAAGATATACCATTCTGATGCACTCAAATCGAGTCTTAGTGTCTGCTTCAAGGTCGGTCCGAAATGAAGCCATAAGGAAGCAAGGACCGAAATGCTTTACTTTTCTGTTACCAAAACCGAAAGCAGGCAATGAGACGTATTCGAGTAAAACCTGACCATTGCTTGTCGTGTCTTCACTTGTCTTGAATGGAGAACCCTTGATCACGATCTCTTTATGAGTCAAGTGAACTGAGGTCGAATTCACAGGTGGATATACTAGTCCCCCCCAAAAGGGGAGATTGCCCTTCAGCTGATGCCGTTTCACTCTCGGCTCATGGTATTTGGCTTGGAATTGGTAACTTCTGAGAGAACACCTTCCCAACAAAGGTCACCGTAGATGTCACTGAGAAGCAACCTACCTCCAACAAAATTGGTATTGTAGGTCTCCCTACATAAAGCTTTCAAGCAAACACATGACTACCTGTGGTATACACAAGTTTTGTTCAACATTGTTGAGGTTTTCAAGCGTGACTTTCAGCAGCCTTAGTTACTACAGGAATTCTTCGAACATAGACCCCTCCAAAAGGAGGTTACTGTCCCGAAGGGATGCACTTTCTTTCCCCATTATCTATGAGTGTGTGGTCAAACCACAGTCCGTTTTGCTAGTTTACATGAATGTGGATTCCTGATATTATGGATACCTACAAAAAATCAAACCTCATATGGGAAACACAACAAAGTTCGACGTTCGGCTACCTAACACGTTCGTTCATCGCGCAAGTTCTGAATTTCCGTGTGGGCCACTAGTTCTCAAACTTTCTAGTTCAACACCATCACCCTTAATTTTTGTATATATTATAAATATATGATACTATATAATGTGTAACCTATAGTCATATCATGTACAATGCATACAACGTGTATGATACATTCGCTATTTCATGCGAAGTTGTAAATATATCTAAATATAAAATATAAGCATTAGGATGGAGACTGTTAGAAAGCGAATTGAATTGTTAGACTAATGCGCTCAAGAGGCACCCCTCTGAATAAAGGCTATTCCTTTGAAGACTACGTAATATCACTCCCCGTAAGGCACTTTTTAGTGTGCGATCCTTGCAAAGAAAGACGGTCCTCTTGGGAATTTCACTACCTCAACCTGATATATCTCGCATACCACATAAATTGGTTGCTACCAGTTGCCCAGAACGGGTACAAATGCCTACTTCTCACACGAGCACACACTGCTGACGTCGTACTTCTTTTATTTGGTGATACCCAGTTTAATGACCCCAGAATATAAGGATTTGGAAATTCAAACGTTTTCAAATGCCAAGACAAAGCCTACTATATGTCGTCAGCGTTAACGGGATCCTGTGAAATCATAAAGGTCTTACCAAGGCCCATCTGACATAAATAAACTAAAAGTAACCCAGGATGTGTTTGTATACAGGAAGACCATTCATGACCTATGTTTTCTCGTAACCATCCCTGTTTGATCTTTGCAATCTATAGATCCATTGTGGTAAGCGCACATGCAGGCCCACGTAACGACCGTTGTTTTTAAGAGGTGTATGCATGGCAACTGAAATCAACATATTGATACTTAGTGGTATTAGCTTATGAATAACACACACATGCGGCAACCCCATAACAAACTATTCGCTACCCTACGCTTGCGATCCTCACATTAATTTGTTAAATGACCAAATTTGTTCGTGTTTTTCAAGTTGCTTCTCGCCCCTCATCTCTTCGTTAATCTTGCAGCCTACACGAAATTTTGCTATCAAAAACTGTGCAGGCGTTGAAGCACACAGTGCTGTTGCTACCAAGCCCTGGTGCACTATTCTCTGGTGGCGATTCCGAGAGTTGTCGGATCGAAGATTTGATTGAAACCTACGCTGGTTTGCGGTTTGTCACGAATTGCTTGAGGGCTGTTCAAGGTACGTAATTAATGAAAACAACTGTACTCCCTGTGGCTTTACCGTTATTGTGGTCAAAATTAGCTACTTTACAACAGCTCAGAGGTTTATTAGCATGATAAATGATTCAAACCAACCTTAATTTTCCAACGGTTTCTACATAGACCTAGGGGTTTGGCTGCAGATTGGTCTATATGTTCCAAGCGGTGGTAGTGCACTAAAAGTTTTCCTTTCTTCTTAACCTCTGTAAAACAGTCATTGATGAAGCGAATTAAGAATTTTCCACGTTGTTGACAATTTGTGGCAACATTACTCTGTGATTTTCCAGTATTGTCAAACGAAAATGTCCTGGATGAGACGCTTCTCATGGCACTCGTCAATTGGGTAACCGAGTTCAATGTGGAGGCTTGTGTGAGTTCCGAATTTCAAATTCTCTGGTTTTTGGTGTATCTTCGTGCAGTTTTCGCTATTATTTTGCTTTAAGACACCAACATTCCACGGTGATTTCACGAACGTGATGCTTGAAAAAGCTTAGTAAAGACGTATTTTCGCGTTCTTTCTTCGGACGCATTCACCTGGTATTAAAACGTTTGCTCAACACTAACAAGGGTTTTGCTCCCGGTGAACAATGCTGTTTTTTCCTTGTTAATCTGTTTTGAGCTTCAGCGCTGAGCGGTCCCTAGTTGTGAGGCATGCTTATTGTGATTGGACTGAATCTTACCGTAATCGGAATATAACTACTCAGTCCAGGAGTACCATGATGTTCGCAAATAGCTGGAGCCCTCTGGCGATTTCCCGTGGTTCGAATCATATCGGAGCATGAAGATAAGAAGGCTTACCTAGCCGGTTGAAAATTAGAGAAACACTGTTCAGCGGGTTGATTTCTTGTTGGAATTTATCTATACTACTCCTGTAAGCGCGGATTCCCATTCAGACGACCACTGACCAATTACCGGTTCCCCATAAAGCATGTCTGTTCATCTATTGTGAACTTGCATCACTCATGAGTATGGCTATCAAGGTTAACACTACCGCTGGTGAAGCACAATGGAATGGGCTGTAACATAACAGTTTTGAATCCTTTCAGATTGCTGGTCGAGGATTTTTCAACATGACAAGATATCCGTGTTTGCCTTGACAATAAGCGGACGTGCAACCCGTCCAGATCCTGTTACTAACAGATCCATCAAAACCTGTATGTGACACGACTGCAAAGCCAGCCAACACTTGTAAGGACCTCATGCGGTGATACGTATCAGAACACTGTTAACACACCTGGTTAGTTGTTACAAAGTTGCAAAATTGTTGCAACGTTACATTTCGGAACGTGCAGTCTCTGAACATACGCCTTATGCTTCAAGGAGAATCATTGGAGATTTTGGAGAATTACACATTTCTCGGTAGTTATCGCTGACGGAAATGTCTCATGAAGACTGCAATAATCTCAAAGGCTCGAATCAAGTTTGCTAATCTGCGTCACTTGGGGCGTCAAAGAGGCATATCAGTGAGTGTTAAAAGTCGCGTGTATCAGACTACACAGTAAAGGGCTGTGTTGTTGTGTAACTCCGAGTCGTTTTCTCTGTGGACAGATGATGTGAGTTGTCTTCCAGCTTTTGGCCACCAATGCCACAGAAGCGTTGCTGGTCTTGGATGGCGCCAACGGATTGGTAACGGAGTGATTAGAAAGCGGGTATTCGATTATGCAGCAGGTAATTCAATCGCGGTAAACATCCAGCACCATCAACTTCGTTTGCTTGGACACGTGGTACGCATGCCAAAACACCGTCTTCCGAGACGAGTTTGGTTCCCCATGCTTCCTTAAGAATGATGCAAACCGCGAGGTGGACAAAGTATGGCTTGACACAAGAGCGTGAAAGGGACTACGAAGAGTTTTGGTGTTTTTGGTGCTGTGCGCCTTCCAGAATGACGCAATGACTCCGAACTATGCTTGGCTGGAGACACTGTAAGAAATGGCGGCTGGTGGATGTCAGTGGCGTTCGTGCTGTCATTTTCCTTCCGGATTGTCCGATTGAGCGCTTGTGTAGGTACCTCAGAATGTTTGCGATAGGCAAGCTCTAGACCTCCTCTCTCACCCACTCTTTTACTTTCTTCATTCTAAGGCTTCAAATGCAATCAGATAAACTTTATGGTTGTATGGCAGTGAAGCATCAGTGTCACCACTGCCGTTGTTGTCTCTGATGACGATGATGATAATGATGATGGTGACGGTGACCGTCTTGGACAGCAAGTGAAAGAACCTCATGATAAAACTGAGGAACTCCGTTCTCAAACCCGGAAGTATGGGGCAGCAACACACGAACAACGAAGGGAATTTAGTGGTGAATTTAAAGTGGTCCCTACTAGCACATTGACTTTCTGGCTTGATCGCATTCCAGATGTCAACATACTTTTTGAATGCCAACGGAACTGGCTTCCAAATAAATTGTGGTTGTACGGCAGCAAAGCATAGTTGTGGAACACTGGTTTCGCGCTGTTTGGATGACGATCGTGATACTTCAATGACAAAATTCAGTTACCAATATCTAGGCACGTTCAAAAATGAATGTCACGGAGAACACAGGAATAGAGAAACTGACTGTTCTGTTTGTTCAAGGAAAATTCGCGCGTGTACCATTCCATGTTTTCATGTGGCTGGTCGGCCGTGCGCTGGATTCACACCCCACTCACCCTGTTGGTGGGAGGTTCACATCACGTGATCTCCTATTGACTGGCTCCTCAAGCTTCCTCAAGAGAGACTCATGGGGCTTGTGAAGTTTAACGCTCTAGCAGGTTGTCCGTTTTTTAATTAGTGAAGAGACTTGAGGTTTCGAATCTATCTTTCATTATGCAGGTCACATCACTTTGTACTAAGAAGTCAAGAGGCACTGTACGTCTGTTTCATGCTTGTTCTTAATTGTCACAAGTTTACAGCTTATTATCCCGAGGAAATTTGATTCTGTAACCGGTACTTATATAGTTGTACATATATGGGCAAGTTTTCTGTTTATTTACACTTCCTATCACCTTAAATGTTAAAACTAGGCATATTGCTGCCTGTTCTCTCCGGACTGTTTTGATTTTCGCTTCGTGCGCTTTTGATTTCATTTTTCAGTCTCACTTCAGGAACTCATCTGCAGCAGCTTTCTGCAGTTTAGGTGGACCGGCTTTGAAGTTGGTCTGCTCACTTATTGCATGGTCATGCCACACGAACACCCTTCCAGTGGACGAGTTAACCAAATTGTTTTTACCATTCACCTCTCTCCACTCCAACTCCGGTGCTCATATTCTATTTTGGATGCACCCTATACTTCTGGGTTTGGAATCCGATAGACAGAATGACTATTGCCTGAGGATAGCCTGCGAATTTATGCGTGAACTTTTGAGGAATTTGCGTGGAGTGGCACTACCGAAGCACACAGCCCAACTGCTGTCCCATTTATCGGCAAAAATTGTTTGCTGCTTGGCTGTTTGTTCTGGGTCACCCTCAGTGTACTGCGAGCATAATCGGTGTACCGGAGGTAGTTCACACCTGACTATGAAAGATCCAAGCGCCTTGGCAATTCCTTCCTGTTACAGTTTGGCCGAACAAATCGAGTTGATCGATCTTATGCTAGAAGAGCGCAACGTAGAAGGTGCTTCCGAGGGTGAGTCTGTTAGATGTTTGACTAACTGTTCATTTCAGTTATTTGTTTTGTCGTAGTCGCATTGCTATCCAAACTGATTAAAGGCCCGTTTGACATAAGTGATTCATGTTAACAGCCTAATGTAGCTTGGTCTTTTTGGCATGGCATAGTCAAGGGCAGGTGCCGAAAATCGGGTAGCTGTCGTGAAGTCTGAAAAGTTAGGTCCAAGACAATAACAGCGGGGAATTCCCGCACTCAGTTTCAACCGCGAAATGTGACTATTACAAGCGCCTACCTCAGGATTTGTCATATTTCGTCAAAAACAACAGTGCTTTGGTGAAACCAATTACTCTGCAAGAGTAGACTGGTTCCCTGGGGATCGATGCAAATAATGTTCACGGCGTCATTTACGCATAGTTGCGGCACAGGTCCCGCAATTCACAAAATTCCATGGCTGCTCCTGATACTTGGTGCGTCGTTTGACAACGCCCAGTTCTACCAAGACGTTGTTTTCATCCTTCTGACCGTTGTAGGGTAAAGTGTCTTTTCCGCCTAGCTCTCCAGTGTTGTCTTTTCTCATGTAGACGGCAATCTAGGGTTCTTCATTCCATAAAGGGTTGTAGTTACTACTACGTGAAAACAGTCACCTGGAGCTAGAACTGACGTTTGCTTACTGGGCTGGGATCAGCGACCAGTGGGCTGCGCCGTCGGTGCAGAACAAACTCTTCAGGTGTAGATGCTACTCCTTAGTTATTTCGTTATCTTTGATATCAGTAGTACATCCTTTGGTAACGTATATGCAAAAGTGAGAACTGTTTCTTCCATCGAAATAAGGTCAGAATGCTTAACATTTGCATCCTTTTGAGTTCGTTCAGTTTATATACCGACAGATACCCTTATTAAGTTCTCGACTCCTTAGGACTTTAGTAACGAACACTTGACCAAGTGTTGTTTCGTTTGAACCTGCCTGTGGCTTCTGAGTTACTATTTGTTGGGCTTAAACAGCATAGTGGTATATCAGTCCTCCTGCTTCTTCTGGGTTTCAAGAAACTTGTGCACTACGAGGGTGCTGTGATGGGCCGGTTTTCATCTTTGTTACACCCTTACCGGTTTCAAGGTATTCCATACGTCCGATATTCGTTTTGTAATCTCTTGTTCCTATAATGTTATTTGTGTTTCAGCTGTGGTTGACCTGGTGACCCACTTGAGCTACCATATGCGTTGGGATCTGGTCGATGCTGTTCACGTGCATTCGCTTCTGACACTGGTTCACTCGAATCTTCCACACTTCACACCTGCTATCGTTGGGTGCGTTGGTTCACTTAATCTGTTCAAAATCTTTTGAGTAGCTCACAAATAGATTCCTTGTTTTTTTATATGAAGATTTCACGCTTGTGCATACGTTGAGGTTTGAACTATGTACAACGATTCACTGTCGCTTTGATCTCACTGGGCTTATCCCAATGTACTGCGGTGGTACGGTGACGAGAATTGTAGTTATTGTTGAAAATACCGATTTGCCTACTTTGAACGTGGACAGTTTCTGTCCTTACTTGTTTCTCTTCACTTTCCCGGAATCTCATAAATTACCTGTGAACTTTACTTTTCCGTTAGGAAAATATTTTTCAACATCACAAGTCAGCTTTCCAAAGCTGACTTAACTGCGTGGCTCGGGGTTCATAACAGTGTGATGCCTGTGTTATCGGCGGTTGCTCGTCAGGGTCCTTCCTCTGCACTCACGCATGTTGGGATAGACGAATATCGGATTATGCAGTATGGAGCGTTTGCACTGTGTTTAGCCAAGCACTATACTCGCATTTTGGCTGTACAACCGAATCCAGCCATTCTTTGCGAGCTGACTGAACGCAGGACATCGAATGAAGGTTGCCCATCGACAGTGTCGTCCAACTCGCTTGTGGAGGCGTTGGTGAACGTGTTGGCGGCATTGTGTCGCCTAGGATTGGTGCACCAGTACACACATGCTTTGTATGGAGCGGTATATTTTCATGTAAGTATGGGAATAATTTATGGTTGTCTAAGCGTTTTCTTGTTCTGCTTAAGCGCAGGTTCGACTGACGTTTGTGCAGTGATCTCCGTCAAGAGTACACCTCCAATTTCAGCTTCCTTCCATCTCCCAAAGGAAAAAAATTCACAGAGGGACATGTACTTTGGCCTTTCCGGGAGATTCTTTTCTTTTAGGGAAAATCGGAAACTAGGTTGTGACTGATGGCGAATACTGCTGTGGTTCGAGATGACTACTTCTCTTCGACGACCGCCTTTGGGAGAGTAGGGTATATAGAGTGGGGAATACTGTGTGATGAACGGATGCCGTAGATTGAATAGAACTATCTACCCAATGTTTTCGTTGACAGTGCTCACTGCAAAATTCAACATGCCGTTCGCAGTTTTTGCCTTCTGCTTCGTACGTTGTGCGTCCCATCCTAATTACGGTAACCTAGGGTAACCTTAGGTAACCTTTTCCCATTTGCGTAATTTCCGTGTACCTCTCATTCGCATAGTCTCGGTTCATGCGCTTGGACACAACCGGTGTTTTAAGTGATAATCACATGATGCGAATTTTGGAATTATTTATTTCTGGCGACCAATTTTGCTACCTAGTTTTTTGTAGGGTCATGCGTAATGGCTGAGAC